AGAAAATATTTCCCTAAAAAATTCTCTCGAAGAAAAATGTCTGAAGTCAACATTGTACAGTACTGTACTTGGAACCCCTAATTCAAATTTGCTTGAGCCCCATGAAGCAATAATGCACCACTGCGATCATATTTTTTCTCTATCAAATCGACCACTTTTATAAAGAAAAGAAAACAAAACAACAATAACAATTTAGTAATTTCATCTTACAAAATTTATATTGTGTTTTCGAAATTCAGTAATTTAGATCTGAATCCATCAGCTGTAGATTTCTGCGTATAAAAATATCAAATACTTTCTTATTAGAAACTACGATCATTGCACACTTTCAATCTTTTATGATTGAAAGTGCGCAATAATAGTAATCATTTCTATAGTGTGTGACTACGCAGATGCCAGCGAGAGAATTTTCCGAGAGAGCGAGAATATGTAGCGAGAAGAGGCGAGACGCGATAAATATATCAAACCCTGCGAGAACAAGAAATTCGCTCACGCCAGCGATATTTTTCGCTTCTCGATTGTGCATGGTTTACCTTTGCGAGAAATATATCGCTCTCAACTTCTCGCTCGCTACTAAATTCGCTGAAACTGAAACTACATATTTGAAACAACCAATCACAGATAAACACAGTGTAAACGTATGGATTCAGGATGACATTAACATAGAGACTTCATATTTTAACTTCTTCCAGATATAGTTTTACATAACAAAATGAGATGAATGAATGAAGAAAATTGAAAAGAAGTAATTTAATCGTACATACAATTACATTATGGGAACGATTCAAAACCTATACTTGATACACCTTCTTATACAGCTCACCAGTTCGGCTTTAGTGTCTTTATAGGAAAGTGTATTAAATATCATGTATCAATTATCAACACCACTAAACACTGGTCTGAGTTTTGAGCTCACCAACGTACTAGCCATGTGGAATTTTCCGATTTTTCTAGCAGTTTACTACTAAACACAGCCAGTTACAAAGTTACTATCACCGCAATATTTTTTTTTTCAGAAAAAACATTACATTTATAATTCAAATAAAACGTATTTAGAGAATAATGGCATTTACAACGTTAAGGCATTGCACGCTTCATATAAAGCAGGCACACCTCTTGGTAGTCACCCAAGTATTACGCTGCCTTATTCTATTAATCCAATCTTTATAGAAGTTACGATCTATAACGATGAAAAACAGAAAAAAAAAAATATTTAAAAATCTGAGTAAATCTTCGCATAATTTTCCTCTTTCTAATCATAAATCCATCATTTTAAAAGAAAAATTTTAGAATCTCGCAAGTCATAAATGCCCACTTTTTTCTTTTTTTAAATTAAATTTATGTAATTTAGTAAGAATTTTAATATTGAATATCGATTTTTTTCTCTTAATCTTTTGTTTTATTTGATATTATCACCCAGATAATTTTATCGATTTAAATAAAACATGTATTAAAAGCCTCAGTCTAATAAAAATTCATACATTCGAATAGGAGTGAAATTCTCCGAAATATTTTGGGGTTTAATTAAATTCAAAAGTAGTAAAAAAAAAGAACAGATATTATTCTTATTGATCAAAAAAATTCTCTTTTTAACTACGTTAAAGTAATTGCTATACTCTAACATTGGACTTGTATCTGTAATGTATTCGTACGAAAATTAGAACATAGCTTAGATTATTATTATTACTTTTTAAAATTAAATGATAATAGCAATAATAAAAGCTGATTAATCGATTGCTATACTCTTTCTTTTATTGCTTACCGATTAGATTTAAATGTAAAAAAATAAATAAAATAAAATAAAATTGCTTTAGAATTTCGAAATGATTTAACTTAAAAATCATCTATAAAAAATTTGTGTATAGATTTGGTATAATTGGAACTATTTGAATACATTTTTATTCTCATTCTGTAGATTTTTATTAATAAAATTCGAATGATATCAATAGACTTTTGTACAAGAGATCGTTCATTATTTATATGTACAGATTAAAGGGATTGGGGCATTATCTACGTGGACTTTTTTTAATAGTACTTTTGGTGTAGACATACAAATTTGTTTTTATAAACCTACTTATTAATTATGCTAATATCAGAAAATATATGAAGAACTTTATAAAGTTCTTTTTAAATAATTGAATATTTAATCAAGTTTTTTTCCCCAATAACCACGTTTTTCTAAACAGTTTTACGATTCGTGTTCACATACTTACTTGAAATACTGTACATAAAAGCAAAATATAATTAATTAACTGACCTTATCTATCAAATAAATTAAAGATTAATTAAAAATTCTCGAAATTAATAAACCGCTTAATTTTTTTTATTGATAATTTCTAACCATCTTTAAAATTTAATATTGTATATTGTAGCAAGAAAATTAAATATTTAGTTATAAAACATTGTTTAAAATTAATTAATCCTAAATTTTCAAATATTATTAACTTTATAGCTAAAAATACTTCTGAATGTTATATCGATTTTCTCATAAAAATAAATTTAATTTAATATAATTCTGCTAGATAATTAAATATGATATTTATTTATTTATCATTTATATACTAGTAAAATATAGGCCATGTAGACCTGAAATAATGGCCTTTTCTAAACAGCAGCTATTTATTTATTNGGTAGTGCGGATGCTGTATCATATTCATTTATCACAAAAGAGAAAAATAAAATTTAAATAAATAGTTTTGTATATAGTATTGGAGATTTTCTATTAATTATAGTACAATTAATATACGTTAATCTATTCAGTAGCAAAAATTAATTAATTTTATATAAAACTATCTTTAGATGATGATTCATTTTATTCAAATACGAAAGAATTTATTGTATTTATAAAAAAGTTTCAATAAGTTATTATAAACTTCACTTGTTATAAAAGAAATGTAGGTGATTCGTTTGTAATGTTTTAATTAAATAAAATAATTTAAATGGTCAATATTACATTAAAATTTTGTATAAAGATTTTAATTTACAACTGATTTAATAGATTTGAACTACAGTATTATTAATTATAAATTTACTAATTAAATTTTCCTCTTTGAACAAGAGTTTTCTTCTAAAGTTTTACAAAATATTTAAAAAATATTTAATATAAATATTATTAGAAGAGATTAATATTTTACAAACAAAAACAATTAATTCTTGTTTATGGAGTAACAATAAAACATACTGATAGCCTTGACCTTTTAAGGTTACTCAGCCATTTTATAAAAATATATCTAAAATCTCATATAACATTCAGTTTTCACTTAGATTTCTCCAAATTTCCAACATTTACTATAATAATTTATAGTAGTATTGTATTTTAATCAATTTATTTTAATTATTAATAATGTTTTAATCAAACAGCTTATTATATGAAAATATCTTCAGAATGGTCACTATCCTAGCATTTGAATTCTACGAAACATTACTGTAATCATAAAATATAATTATATATACTTGTTATAGTGAGGGAAAATATATTCTTATTGGATTATTCAAATATATTAACATTCTAGTTTTAAATTGCAATTATAAAATCAAACATAAAATTTTAATTTTGAAATCCTTTTAATTCAGAATATGAATTTGGGTTATTCAAATTTAAATTTCAGGAAAGTAAATTTAAAACTTTTTTTAACTCTAGACAAAATAAAGAAACAGAATGAAGTGAAAAATTTTTAAATTTAAATTAAAGTTTCTAAATCTTTGCTAATTTCCAGTAACATTTCTATGTTGTATATTTTATGGATAAGAATATAATTTACTTGAAAACTTATATTTATTTCATCTTATGAGTAAATATTAGTTGGATTTGTGCACTTTATGCTTTTATCATTCAACACTACGGATTAATTTTGTGACCTTTCTCCTGACAAAATGGTACATGTAATTATTTTATTACGATTTCTGTCACTTAGAAATTGAATTATATAGTAATGCTATAAGAAAAAAATAATTTTACTTCTAAAATATAAAACTGGTCTTTTCACAATAAGGTACATAAATTTTTTTTTATATTTATGATATTTATAAATTAGCATAAGATTTTATTATAGAATTATTTTTCAAAATTTATGTTTTTGATATGTTCATATGTGATGTCTAAAATTGTAATGTAGAATTAATTATAAATAAAATGACAGACAAGGAAGTTATAATTTAATTAGGACAGCGTTAGTATTTAAAATCTAACATCCCAGTGACTAAGTCCTTGGTGATGCAAATATATTTTTTCCACTTACCTGTTTTGAATTATGTATATTTTCCTTAAAAGATTTAATTTTTTTACTTTGAATATTAAGAATAACTTGAATAAGATTTAAGGACCTGAGGAAGGTTTTTAAACAATAAAGAATTAACTTTTGAAACTCCAGAAAAGCAGAGTTTCAAAAATGAATTCTTTATAAATAAATTTTAAGAATTATCATCCTTTGATAAAGAAAAACTCTTCTTGATTGTATCAAGTTTCTTCATAAACTTGCAGACTTTATGCAAGTAGATGGTGTATATATTTATATTGTTTTATTATATTCAAATCTTTAATGCATCTAAAGCTAGCATACTTGAATGAATTTAGAATAGAAGAATAAGAAAGATGGCTTCTTAATTTGCTTTATATAACCAAAGCTAATACTGTATAAAATTTTCAATAGATTTATAATAATATAAAATTGAAGTTTCTTATTTATATGTATAGCTGAAAAAATATTTTATATATGATTTTTGTAGCTAGTCAATGAATTTAATAATAATCTATGGTAAATCTTATCCATTTTACACAAATTTTTTAAAAATTAACATATTAAATATTACATTTATATATTGTTAATTTATTTATATCTGTTAAATTCTATTCAGTTTCTTGTTTCAAAGGAATATATTTAACGAAATTCATTATTTCATTAATGAATGATGAATACCATGTTCAATTAGCAATAACAATACTCTAAACAATAATAAAATGGATTTCAAAACATGTTATTATGATTGGTCGAGTGACGACGGTGATGTCATAGTAAGCTTCTGTGACGTCAGCCACGTGTTAGGTTCACTTCAAACATTCAAGATGGAGTTTAGTGTGAAGACGATTAAAGGTTTTGCTGCTGAAGCCGCAACTGTTTTTACAAGAGCAGTTCAGGTATATTATGAAATTTGCAGTGTTATTTAACAATATTTTTAATATATTACAATACATTTTAGTATTTATTGCCTTATTAAATAGACATTTAATTTGAAACACATTTGATACACTAGTACTGTCATAAGTATGATTCATTATTTAAAATTCAGCAATGATATATGTTTTTATGGTTTATTTATAAGGAATATTTATCTAATGGTTTGATATGTTGTAAACATTCTACAATACATCTATTTAGTTGTTTTAATAAAAGAATCTGTCTATTTCAACTTTAATAATAATAATAATGAAATAATTTCAGTTGGATTATTCTAGTCATTATTCCACATTAACTTAATCTCAAGGCTATATTTTACTTAAAATATTTTAGTTGAATCTCCTGTTTTTTCTTATAAGGTAAAAAGAAATGAATACATCTACATGTTTCCCATTATTATTATTATTATTCCAAATAAATATTGTCAAATTACATTGTTATTTTTCAATATTAGAAACTTATTGGTAAGCTTTCAAAAGTTTCTTGAACTTATGTCTTTGATGTATAAGTTCTAACAACATATTATAAATACATAAATTTTCTACTAGTAATAAATTAATACAGATAAACTGGTGTAGCCAAATTCAATGTTTGTTGTTTTTTTTTTCGTATTTAAGGTAGTGCCGATGCTGTATCATATTCATTTATCACAAAAGAGAAAAATAAAATTTAAATAAATAGTTTTGTATATAGTATTGGAGATTTTCTATTAATTATAGTACAATTAATATACGTTAATCTATTCAGTAGCAAAAATTAATTAATTTTATATAAAACTATCTTTAGATGATGATTCATTTTATTCAAATACGAAAGAATTTATTGTATTTATAAAAAAGTTTCAATAAGTTATTATAAACTTCACTTGTTATAAAAGAAATGTAGGTGATTCGTTTGTAATGTTTTAATTAAATAAAATAATTTAAATGGTCAATATTACATTAAAATTTTGTATAAAGATTTTAATTTACAACTGATTTAATAGATTTGAACTACAGTATTATTAATTATAAATTTACTAATTAAATTTTCCTCTTTGAACAAGAGTTTTCTTCTAAAGTTTTACAAAATATTTAAAAAATATTTAATATAAATATTATTAGAAGAGATTAATATTTTACAAACAAAAACAATTAATTCTTGTTTATGGAGTAACAATAAAACATACTGATAGCCTTGACCTTTTAAGGTTACTCAGCCATTTTATAAAAATATATCTAAAATCTCATATAACATTCAGTTTTCACTTAGATTTCTCCAAATTTCCAACATTTACTATAATAATTTATAGTAGTATTGTATTTTAATCAATTTATTTTAATTATTAATAATGTTTTAATCAAACAGCTTATTATATGAAAATATCTTCAGAATGGTCACTATCCTAGCATTTGAATTCTACGAAACATTACTGTAATCATAAAATATAATTATATATACTTGTTATAGTGAGGGAAAATATATTCTTATTGGATTATTCAAATATATTAACATTCTAGTTTTAAATTGCAATTATAAAATCAAACATAAAATTTTAATTTTGAAATCCTTTTAATTCAGAATATGAATTTGGGTTATTCAAATTTAAATTTCAGGAAAGTAAATTTAAAACTTTTTTTAACTCTAGACAAAATAAAGAAACAGAATGAAGTGAAAAATTTTTAAATTTAAATTAAAGTTTCTAAATCTTTGCTAATTTCCAGTAACATTTCTATGTTGTATATTTTATGGATAAGAATATAATTTACTTGAAAACTTATATTTATTTCATCTTATGAGTAAATATTAGTTGGATTTGTGCACTTTATGCTTTTATCATTCAACACTACGGATTAATTTTGTGACCTTTCTCCTGACAAAATGGTACATGTAATTATTTTATTACGATTTCTGTCACTTAGAAATTGAATTATATAGTAATGCTATAAGAAAAAAATAATTTTACTTCTAAAATATAAAACTGGTCTTTTCACAATAAGGTACATAAATTTTTTTTTATATTTATGATATTTATAAATTAGCATAAGATTTTATTATAGAATTATTTTTCAAAATTTATGTTTTTGATATGTTCATATGTGATGTCTAAAATTGTAATGTAGAATTAATTATAAATAAAATGACAGACAAGGAAGTTATAATTTAATTAGGACAGCGTTAGTATTTAAAATCTAACATCCCAGTGACTAAGTCCTTGGTGATGCAAATATATTTTTTCTACTTACCTGTTTTGAATTATGTATATTTTCCTTAAAAGATTTAATTTTTTTAATTTGTTTATTAAAATTTTTCTTATACTTTTATTATTATTATAAATATACAGTTGTATATTTTAGAAAAAATATATTAAATCTGAATAATAATAATTTTTAGCATATTAAAAGCAATGGGAAATAAATAACAATTCACTTAAAGATATATTTGTTTATTTCTCAATATCAGTTAAAAATGTAAGAATTTGGAAGAGTTTCAAAATTTATAATGTAAAAAAATATATAAATAATAGAGTTTTTAGCTATTATTTTATGAAATAAACTCTGGAATAATTCATTCTTCTTTTTGTAAATGTGCTTTAATAGATGTTAGGAAGTACATTCAAAATTTAGATATGAACAAAGTTTGATTAATTAATAATTACTGAAAACCTGTTGTATGTTTTTACTTCATTAATTCAACTGTATCTAATAGGATATTATAAAGGAAATGTATTAGAAGAAATGTACATTTTGTAATCATTTTGGGATGCAGTTTAAATGATAAGACTATCTGAATGATAATGTTAATCATTAAATAAAAATTTAGCATTTATAGCAATATTTATTGATATAGAATAATAAACTAACTATAATTAAAAGTTTTAGAAACAGAATTTTTTTAAATTAGTTCACATATTATCTATTGATAAAAACAAAGTATTTTTGGTTAAAATTAATATTCTTTCTTTCTTCTAATTTTAAGTTTATCATTTACTTAGTACAGGGTGTTCGGAAAGTCACTGTGCACTTTTCTAATCGTGTTTTTGCATTATTTTGAAAGACATGTGCCCCCATGATCACCAGATCTAAATCCACCAGATTTTTATCTACGGGGAGCAGCAAAATCCACAGCATCTGTGCATGCTGGATGACTTGAAAGCAGCAATAATAGTATTCATTGTTTTTCAAGTGAGCAACTGATAGATGTTAGAAACAAAATAAGAAGGATTCAAGCCTGTATTGAACCTAACGGGGGGTCACGTTCAATATTGTTTATAATTGTCATTCATATTTACCTCCTGTATTCTATATTGAAACATATCTGTTAATAAATATATAAGTGCACAGTGACTTTCTGAACACACTGTATAATTCATTAATAAAATTTCATATTTGTGCTGAATAAAAGAGTATCTAATTTTTGTTACATCACATATGTTGTGTCTTAAGATCTGTACAGTTTGTTGTTGTTTGGATTTCAGTTTTTTTTTATTTGATGATTTCAGATGTCAGTTTGACAAATGTCTGGTTGACATTAAACATTTCAATAACATGTTACTATCAATAATTTATTATTTATATATTGATATTTGTAATATTTTTCTCTGTGATATTTAAAATAGTCATCAATCACGAATGAAACATAAAGTAATCATAAAAAAGTAAATGGCCAATTTTTTCCTTATACATTTTCATGGAATTAGTTGGAATCTTATAACATTATCCTTAACTACAATCAATGGTATTCATTATATTTAATTTTTATCCATTAATGTTAAGCTATTTCCAGTAAAGATTTTTTCAATTATATAATAATAATAATAATAAAATATGAAATTGAATAACTTTAAATCAAGCACTGATTATTTACATTTAAAATTTTTTAAATGTGTTTAAAGTCAATGACATTAAATTATTTATAAAATGTCTATATAAAGAAGAGTTGAATTTAGGTTTGTAAAATGGAAAGAAAACACAAACTAATAATAAACTTGAATGATTGACAAATTTTATTATATTATTATCTGTTAAATTATTTAATTATTAGAGTGATTTGACACTATTATATTAAAAATTTCCCATTGAACTAATTATATAATGTTCAATAATAAGATTTAATAATTTTGGTTGATCCAGGGAATGATTTATTTATTCTTAACAATTCAGTTTATTTATTTTTAACAAGGAAATATGAACTCTTTATACACATCCTGTTTGTTTGGAAATACATTTTGGACCTTTTCTTAGTCTTTCTTCAGTCCTGGGTTTTTTCTTCATAATAATTTTTACAATGGTTTACTCAATTAAAACACTAAAATTAAAAACTTTGTCTTGAATTCAGGATAAAGTTTTTGTTAAAAAGAAATAAATTGAAATTTGTTTATTGGATTTCTCAAAAATGTTGAGTCTTATTATTAAACATTAATTAGTTCATCAGAAAAGTTTTGAAACTAAAAATTAAGATGTGGATAATTAAAAGTTTAAAAAAATTAACTATTATGTTATTATCATCAGTGATAACTTTTAAGATTATATAATTTAGAATAATTAATTGTGCAAAATGGTGTTTAAAAGCTGTAATTATTGCTCCAATTATTTACAAGTATATTTACAGGTATATCGTTTAAATATTGGAGTTGGATTTCTTCAATATGTATGTCAAAGCAGTAAGTGAATAAGTTTTGGATCATCAAAATAATCTCAAAACAACAATAATAATAATTTATTAAATTATTTTTATTTACTGATATATAGTATATTTTTATGTATTTGTTGGAAAAAACTTTTTTTAATGTAAATTATCTTAAAGCCAAACAGTTGCTGGATTAAATTGGTCTACATTACTGATACTATTAATAATTAAATAATAGATAATTTGGCACTAGAGGTAGATGTTATGCATCATCTGTTATAAAATTTAATAATTATAATTAAGTTAATATTTATTAAATAATTTAAAAAATTCTGGAAGAAAGAATCAGTCC